ACAATAGACCCATCTGGAGTCACAGTGGAGGGATGGTATTCACCCCACTCACATAGTCGAATTCAAAGATGATTATTATCGAATTATCACTGATTTAGTCTTCTTCATGATGCCAACATTCGTAAAGACACTATAACGATGAATTCCTCATGGATGAGTATGCATCATTTTGTGACAATATTACATTTTCCTGAGTTCTGTACATCATAGGACATGTGCTGGATATCCACATTCAGAAAACTGTGAGATGATGTTCACGACACATGATTTTACGCCTTATATATCCATCGTACTTTTATCAGTGCATCTCAGTTATGATCAGTGGAGAAATACGCTTCAAATCAGAATCATACTGAATCACATAAATTCAAAATTCCTATGAAACACTATGTATCATTCATGAAACTATCAGATTGGATCGCTTTCATCCTTCTTCAATATTAAAGGTGTACATCAGTGTGCTCTGTTTTCGATGCTTTGCGCGATAACTCAGTTATCTTCGGACGTATTGTGTTGCGGTTCACACGTTACTTTCTCACATTTGTGTAAAACGAATAATGCCGCAAGGATAAATCCCACAGTTCATTGTTCTTGAGATACACAACAAAGTTGAAAATTTTTACTTTCTGAGCACCTTCAGTATCTTGGTTACTTTTCAACCTTTCGAAAGGATAAGCCAGGGATCTCATTAAACTTTCTATGTTCAATACAGTGACGTACTAATTCAATTTCTGTAATCGTTCATCATTAGAAAATGTTGCCATTATCCTATTTTCAAATGAGACACCCTTTATATTACTGTCTAGTTTGAGTCAGATTTTGTATAGCTCATCAAAAATATTGAATAGCTGAGATTCTTTCTTCGATAGTTCCCTTTTCCCCATTTACTGAAGATGCGAGATTATAGAATTGGCATGTGTAGCCACTGTATTATACGTAGAAAGTTATATTAAGCCCAGTTCTTATTTATTTATTTATTTATTTATTTATTTCAAAAAATACATCCAACAGGCCCAAGAGCCCATTGATAGGTGTACAAAATTAATAATAGGTGATAAGAGTAGTCCTTAAGCATAATTAATATTAAGTGAATGAGAGCATAATGTATAATTATCAATTAGAAAGTGTGCTGAGAATATCACGTTTGAATTGTGCAAATGACAGAAAGAAAATATCTACATTGGGTGTGTTGTTAACGCTCCTAGACATTGTTGATAAAGGTGAGTGGAAGTTATGCACAGTGTTAGGTACAGAAAAGTAGAATGTGTTACATGAGCGAGATGAGAAACGAGGTACATTAAACATCATTTGTGACAATAAAGTTGAACAATCTATTTGGTTGTGTATTATTTTGTAAATAAAGCACATGTCTCTTATTTCGCGATACTTTCTTAATGATATCAGATTAAACTCCTCTAGCAAGAGGTCATAATTATAGCCTCTAACTGAATAAATACCATGTTTTTCATAATAAGCAAATTTCAAGAATTTCTTCTGAACGTTCTCAATAGTCATTATGTATTTGCAATGGGAAGGATTAAAAACAACACTGCAGTACTCAAGTTTGCTTCTGACCATAGATAAGTAGATGCTCTTCAAAGAATCGAACGACTTGAAATCTCTACAGTTGCGTATGAGAAAACCTTAATTTTTCATCGATTCAGAAATGATATATGTTCAATATGGTTTGAGAAAGCCAGTTTTTGATCAAAAATAACTCCTAAGTCCTTCAATTCAGTGATACGCATAAGAGTGTTACCATCAAGTTCATAATCAAATGTGAGTGGGATAAGTTTACGAGTGGAAGTCATAACTTTACATTCTTTGATATTCAAGTGGAGTTTATTTTGAATGCACCAGTCACTCGGAAAATTCAAATCTTCTTGCAGTACAATGTAATCTGATTCATCCTTTATTTCTCTATAAATCTTTATATCGTCAGCAAATAATAGCTTGTTAGAATGAATATGATCAGTGATATCATTATCATTAATAAATATCAGGAATAATAAGGGACCAAGATTTGATCCCTGAGGAACACCGGATGAGGCTGTGAAGCAGGAAGATATTATTCCATCACACTCGACAAAGAGTTTCCGTTCTGTCAGGTATGAATTGAGCAGCAACTAAATATTAGTAGATATACCAAAGCTTGACAACTTCTTCAGTAGTTGAGGGTGAGACACGCGATCGAAAGCTTTACTGAAGTCAGTAAAGATTACATCCTCCTGGTTCCTCTGGTCAAGGGAATCAGAAACGGATTGTGAAAAAATACAGAGGTTAGATGCAGTGTTTCTAGCTTCGACAAATCCATTCTGGAAGATAGACAGAGAAGAGCTGACATGATTGTATATAAGTTCAGATAGTATATGTTTTTGAGAAAACTGATATAATGACTATTGGTCTGTAATTTTCCACAAGAGTAATGTTGCCGGATTTAAAAACAGGACATACTCTGGACAATTTCCAAATCTTTGGATAATAGTTTTTTTGTAACGCAAGATTGAGAATGATATGTAGAGGATCAACCAGAAGGTTAATGTGATTTTTGACTATTTCAACAGGAATCCCATCGGGACCAAAAGTGAGTTTATTTTTGAGTTTTTTTGCGGCATTGATGATTTGTTCCTTGGAGATAGTTGATATGTTCAAGAAATGGTGACTTTGGCATCATTGTCAGATCAGATAGGTTGTCGCTTAAATCTACGGTAATACCATCATCTTGGCTATATACACTACTGAAATTAGTTACAAAACCATTGACTATTGGGAGAGGTGAAGAAAGTATGTTCTTGTTATAAATCATTTCTCCTGGGATGCGAGATTTGTTTTTCTTTGAGTTGATATAGTTCCAAAACCCACGAGGGTTATGTTTGAGCATTTCTTCAGATCTCTCGACGTATAACTTATAGTCAGATGCTTTACTCAATTTGATCAATTTTCTGACGTTTTTGACTCGCTTTAAATGAAAAAGGTATTTGGTTTCTTTGTACATTCTCAGATAATGATTTTTTGATTTGATTTTATTTATAGTACATTTGCCGAACCACGCAGGGAACCTACGTGATCTACATTTGAGCAGAGGAGCACATTCGGACATAATGTTGTGCAAAGAGTCATTAAGTATTGTACACATAGAATCAACACTATCAAGGTGAAGTAGAGCTTGAGACCAGTTAAGTTCACTGGGTAGATGCGAGAACTTCGTCAATTCTTTTCAAGTCAAACCTTTCAACAGACGATACAAAATTTTCCATATTACCAGTACTAATAGATAGTTGCACTGTGAGTCCTGAATGATGAAGATCAATAGGAACTATTGGGTCATCATTATGTTCCACTACACACCTGATAAGATATCTTGCCGATAAGTGCCGATACCAAGATCATGAGGTGCTCAATTTTCAACTCCGCCCTGTATCTCAAGTGTGTTTTATCTATGACATAAGGAACTGTAACAATTCTCTTTGCGGCATTATTCATTTCGAAAAAATCTAAGGCAATAACATGAAAACCGCAACACTCTGTCTCCTAATATAACTGAGATATCGCGTCAAATCATCGAAAACATGACACACTGTACCTCATTATCGTGATATCATATGCTACCATAATGACTGAAATGCTAGTATGTGTCGAAAAGATAATTCCTGTTTGGCTCAGCAGAATCCAACACTGAAGTCATCCGCTTGATTAGAATATTTCTATCTTCGGGGATGACCAGACATAGATGAATTCTGTGATTCTCAGTAAACATGGCTAAAAAAATTGCAGTATTCCATCAAAAGAACTCTATTATTCTAATGGATTTTTTCCACTCTGTTTAATTGAAACTCCGAATGATTTGTGTACGCTTCAGTATCGAGATGGAAAGAATTAAACAAAGTAAGCAGATTATACCGTTGTTGTTTTGTACATGATTTTGCAGTGTTACGAATGTTTCAGAGGGTCTGTTCGAAATATTTGGTAAGAGAGACTGATTATGCGGAGAATTTCTCGTTGCAAGCAAAATATTTTATATTTAGCGCTATAGATATTATTTTTGCGAATAGGTACTCGTAATCTGAAAAAATGTCAGAAATGCTATGAGTGGTGACTATCTGATGTTGGCTTAATCAAATGATGAAAATGTTGTCCTTTCAATGTAGCATTTTATTCACTTCACATTACAATGCATCTGCTGTACTGATTAGTTGGAATTCAGGGACAAAATATAAATAATCAGAGAAGCTGTTCAAACTGTCCACATTCCATCAGAATACATGATTCTGCACGTTTTTTTCATATTTGCAATTTCTCTTCCGATATACTTCGTCTTCTTATCTGTGATGTTTTTACAAAATTGTATGACATGGAATCATAATTCAAACTTGATTCACATGAGTTCAATTGAGTTGAACATTTGGAAACAAATGAGTTATCTGAATCTCTGATTGTACGCCAAGATACGAGGGAGGTTACTGTTACCACTTGATACGCTGAAATTTTATTTGACATAATTTCATACTGAATTTTCTTTGATCAAATGTTTCTCATAGAAGTCAGTGCTCAATAGATCTCCGGAAATTATAAGATACATAGTACCCATATTATATATCCGTTAAGTGCTGCTTCAAAATACTAACTCACCCTATGTATGCTCGACTTCGAACGCTGTCTCACATCAACACTATTCATTTGAATGAGATGTGATGGTGAATCTGAGAGTATAATATCTGGCTGATGCACCGAAATACTAAACTCATAACTTGCTTCATGAATTGGAAAGTTCTGCAACAGTGTGGGGAATCTTATAAGATACTTAGATTCCCCAAACCGTAGTTTTGCTTTGCCAGGGACTTGAACCGACGACTCTTGGCACGTGAGATAAGCGCTTACTCACTGCACTTGTCCTGTTCCCAACAATCATAATTATTTATCAGTGTTCTTGAAGAAAGTTGACACAAAATATTGAAAGGAATAATTGTGAATCATGTTTTCGATAATTTGTTTTATTTCAGGCGGAAATACTGAACCACAACATGTCAGGAAGAATTATCCACAGTAATCAGAGTTTGGTGCTTCAGAAAGTGACAAGGCAGAGTGCTGGTCGATACAGATGTTCAGTGGTTAATTCTGAGGGTGAAACTGTCAGCGATGAGCTCGACTTCAGAGTACAATGTGAGTAATACACTATTTCAATCTCTAGTTATCATAGGAGTTACCCAATTCCTTGACGATATTTGAGAATTCCCTTTGAGAACAATTAAACGATTCAGATTCGTATAGCAGAACATTGGAATTGTTTATTATTTTCTTCAGACTTGCCATAATAACGTTACCAAATGAATACAATGTGCCTCGATGAAATCACCAAATCATACGAAATTCCATACACTATATATAAATTCTCAAGTTGAAGAATGAAACAATTTATATTCGTTTTGTAGTAGAGATGTCGTAATAGTTATTTAACCAACTAGTGTATTAATGAGGACGATTAATGATCGAGATATTTTAACGTGCGAGCGAAGCGAGTGCGTTAATGTTCGAGATCATTAATCGCCTTTTAATATACAAGTTGGTTACACAATTTTTCCGTCGACTATGTTTCTTATTTCTCCTGCAATGAAGAAAACTTGGTTCGCGAATTCATCATCCATCCGGAAACTGCTAAGAATCACTCAGTAGCCTTGTTACTGACATAAGTGTCATTTGACATTTGTTGAATTGATCAACATAGGAAATAAATTCCTTCTGTTAGAGAAAAGGGATTAAAATCGTGTCAGAAACTTGGAAAGGCGAACCCGTTAACGGAAAATCGTCGATGAAATCCATATTTTCGATTTAAATGCAGATTCCGCTAGTTATAGTATAAACAATGAATGCACGCGGTGTATGTTTGGTTGCCTATAAAACAATCGTGCATTAATAGACAAATCGTCCATTTATAGGGGTCATTAATGAACGATTCCATATACATTAAACTTAGTCGTTAATACGAGGTCTACGGAAAAGTTCATTAATTCATTCAGTTACTCTGCAAACAACGTAACTGAATTCGGCTTGAGTTTTCGAATCAAAATATCGAGTATTTGTCCAATATGGGCCCTATTTTCGTGTCTAATCCAAGTCATCAAATCAAGAAATAAATCAAGAGTTGTATACAACATATCAAACTTATTTTTGACATCGTCCCACTATGATTTTCAACTCGTACGCATGAGCCGCTTTCCAATTGAAAATTTGTTAACCCTGGAATAGATCGTTACCAACCTACACTTGTACTAAACAGGATGATGTAATTGGAAGATAGTTCTCATCCAAGTATTTGAAGTGACGGATCTGGCTCGAAATTTGAATTTGAATTTTTGATTGTAGTATTTTTATGATGGAAAAACTGGATTATATGATTTTGGTTTGTGTGATGTCTGATCTCCCACATTTCATACTGAATAGAAAAGAGAGAACTCGAATCAAAAATATCATAGAAGATACTGTGTTGTTGTTGTGCTTTAAGCGTCAAGGTAGTCCTTCGTTGGTCCTCCTAGTTCAAAGCTGAACCTCTTGGGAGTTATTCAGATCATTAATGTTCATATGGTCTCATCAAATTACAAAATTCAAGCTACTCTCGATGGACTTATGGAGAGAATAATAGTCGGCTATTTGTCATGGTCTCGGGATATTACCCACGATAATCAATAATCAACATCTTCCTAACTGTAGAACTGTAGAACATACCTTCCTCAATGCATTGTATTTACAAGTATTGGAATACCGTTAAATGGTAATAGTATTGGAAAACTTATACAAAATATGCTAACGACAAAACCCAGTATGTTTCAAGATTTCATTTCTATATTCGCAGATTGAATCAAATATCCGAATTTATCTGTGTATATATACTATAAGATCACCTTTGTTAGTATGCGCAAAAAGGTAGCAGGATGATGTGACTCAGTGACAAAAAGTCTTCGTCATACCTGTCAAACTGTCTATATTGACTTCACTTGACAGTGGCTTCATTCCGAATTCAACTGACAATACTGACCAGTTGAATTCGGAATATAGCCAGAAAGTAACTCTCTATGTATGTTTTAGGTATGTTTTACTGAAGTGCACCCGCACTTATAAACACTCCTCAAACCCAAATCCCTATACACTCACGAATCTGTCCCTTCTCTTGTTAAAATATTCTTGACCAGTGTCCAACCTTCATTAACCGACGAGCGGGACAAGAACATCAACAAGCATGAAGCCAGAATTATTATGCAGGTGAAATTCTGAGCTACTGTTCCATGTTATAATTTGTTATAATTTACATTACGTTGGCACCGGTAGTTGCTGAATAGCTCATCGACGGTGAAATAGGTCTTGAAATACGATTCAAATAAATGATGTTCAATTGCATATGGATTCAGAACTACTGTGGAAATAAACCGTAACAAATAGCAAACGAAAACGTCAGTTGAAGGTTTTTGGTTTCCGGAATATTTCGTGGGAAATAAACATTATTTGGTTCTCATGTAATGTTGCCAGACACTTCAACTTTGTGGGAAGCGAAGCCGGGGTGACACTAGTAAAAACACACTCTTTGCTAGTCGAGAGATATTAGATATCGTAGCCCCTGAGGCTTCACTCGATACTTGACCAGATAATTGAATCAGTAGTCCAACCAAATGGTATTTTTACTTGGAAAAAATGCAAGTAGTCAGTTTCTCTGTGGATTCATATGCTCTTGGAGGTGCTGAATTTGAATCTGAATTTCGCAAACAGAATTTCCTCTGGAGCGTTCCGAGATAATCGCAAAAAACAGCAACATTCTCGGACTTTTTTCGGTTTTGTGCCCGTAACTCGAAAATCATACGTTATATCGATGAGACCGCCCCATAGAAAGTTGAAGTAGATAAAATTTCCTGAATATAATCAATGAAAGTGAGACTAACGAGTGCGGAGATAGAACCAGTTGAAATTTGACCGACTTTGCGTACTTTTCAAAAAATAGCGTTTTTCGTCGGTTTCCGCAGATAATTCCAAATTTACGCATTCTTTGAAGGAACGAACTATACTGCCTGATGTCGAAGAGTCCTAGCCATGTGAATTCTTACCTCTGTCAGCATGTTACTCATGACTCTCGACTTGTCACTGTACTTAAGTATATTCACATCAACTAGGAAGAATATTGTTTTGTCTTAACTGGCTCCTTTTATTCGTTAACTAAGTGAAAAAATCAAGTTTCCTAGCAACGAATATCAGAAATGTCAGACAATTGAAGAAAATATAGTTAGAAGAGTTTCATTAACTGTCGGCTATCTTCGAATTTACGGCGAATGCTTGTTATAGACCTGCCTCACTGCGAATTCAAAATACGAAAGTTCCAGTTCAGTTCTTTCCGTTTTTTTTTTATTTTTCGTTGAGTTTCATATTCAAGCTATATTCCTGTGGTTGCATATGTCAGATCGCCAGTGTCTGATATGTAATGAAGGTTTGGAGGATGGAAGGCCTACTAGAGTGGTGAATGAGAGTGTCAGTCTCCTCTATAGACCCATTTTTTTTTGTAAAAGCTCAGAGGGTAGTGCTTCAGCTCTTATTTGCTGAGACTCACTAGCTAGCTTAGAATTGTTGAAGAACTCTTTCCTTCTCCTTTACCTGGAGTAGCTCAACAGTAGTTGGATTTTTCACTTCATTCATTCATTCATAGAAAGGTAAAATGTGAGCTCTGCACTTTTTTGCTAGGCGATCAGCTGCCTCATTCCCTTGACGCCTTGGAACCCACATGAGCGAGAATTGATTATAATACTTATTCATCACAACATAGGTAATTCAGATAGTTTGATTAGTTTATCAGTTCCTTATCAAAATGTTCAGAGAATACCCTATAGCATTTGGAATTATTGTATCGCAATTATAACAACTATAATTCCAGCGTACAGAATTTCAATTTTTTTTTGTCCCCCAACCCACACAATACAAAAACCTATGCAAAAACAAAACGATGACTTATTTATACGTTTTAGAGCTTCGATGAATATAGGTTCATATGATCCAAATCATATAAGTTGAAAGGATGAACATGAGTGTGGCAACTACGACTAAAAGTCTCCAAGTCCGAGCGCTCTAACAGCCGTTCATCTATTTTCATGACGAAATTCACATGAGGTCGATAGGAAATTCAATGCTCTCCCAATATGTCCATGAAGCTATGTCTCTGAGTAATAAGTTAAAATGAATTATCTGCGAAAATTGTCGAGAAACGCTATTTTTTCAAAAGTACCCAAATTTGGTCAATTTTCAACTGGCTCAATCTCCGCACCCTTCAGTATCAAATTCATGAGCAAGAACAATTTCACCTAGGGAGTTTCATCTACTCCAACTTTTTATTGGGCGTTCTTTTCGATATAATGTATGATTTCCGTGTTACGGGGAAAAAATCGAAAGAAGTGCAAAAATTTTGCTGTTTTTTGCGAATATTTCGGACTGCTCCAGGAAATTTTGTTCGTACAATTCAGATTCGGATTCAGCACCTCCAAACACATATTATACAACCACAGAGAAACCAACTACTTGAATTTTTCTTCGGATCGGGTCCTAATCGTAACCGTTTTACTGAGCTACAGATAAAACAGAACCATTTATTGAGAAAACCAGTCAACAAGAACTCACATATCAGAGTATGAAATAAACAAGCTTTTATTAAAACAAATATGGGTACCTACATGAATAATCAAATCGCCGACGCAACTGGACTCATCTCTCTCAGCCACCACTCGTACACGCGTTTATTTCTCTTAGGCCCGTATTAATAGTCGTTGCCTCAAGACCTCCCCAAGTCTTCTTCATCTGAAGATTCCTTGAGGACTCCTCAGCACTTGACGTTGAACTGATTTTATAGTCCTTCCTTGAGTATTCCTTCTAGAAGGAGCCCTCACACTTGGCAACATTGTATAACTTTAGTGTTCTGTAACCAAATATGTTGTTTCATGTCACGTGTTTATCAGCAAATGTAGAATGTCGAATTTGAAAATGTTCATTGTTTACTGTGGAGTGTGGACCACACATCAAAAGCTTTCAATAAACCAGTGATAATCTGCGAAAGTTGATGGCTGCAATGAAATAATATGTCGGGGAGAGGAAGCATGTCTATTCAATTGAATACTTCGAATGTATCTGTGATTTTGTGT